GTGCATCATCGAGCAGGATAATGAAGGCGGCCCAATCCGCACACGAAACTGCATGCAATACATTATAATTTCCTATGGTTGGATCTCCACTAGACCACTACACCTTGGACTTGAGACAAAAAGGCAACGGAAGCATGCTAAGTGCAGCACCGTCACACTAGTGGCTTCACAGTTGCAGCCAATTGCTATTTTCAGAATGTGCTGTTTTGGCACAAAAATGTTTGGTAACAGGAGAAGATCGGCGCATGCGCAGCCGCACCACTATCGCGATGACTTGTCGTACCAGAACCGATATTCACCACTTTAAGCGTCTATAAGAGCAAGCCAAAAACCGTGAACTATGCAGGCAGTCCCAAGTCTCAAAGACAGTGTAGCTAGTAAGTGAGACTGTAAGTGTCAAGACATGAAGAACTCTCACTGCAGCAGGTTGCTCCTGGTGTGCTCAGTTCTTGTGCTCTGCATCGTAACCGGAGGCGCGAGGTGCGACAAGTTAAGCAGCAATTTCTATGACTGGACGTGCCCCGGAGTGTACAACATCGTCCAGCAGCACGTGTTTTCTGCCATGAGGGAAGAGCTGAGGATGGGGGCCTCCCTTCTCAGGCTTCATTTCCATGACTGCTTTGTCAATGTACCTCAAGTTTCTTCTGCACTTACTATGAATGTTATGTTGCTGTCCGTCTACTATTGTGTTGCAGTTACTGAAAAAGAATGTTGTGATGTATCCAGGGCTGTGATGATTCAATCTTGCTGGATGGTGCTGATGGCGAGAAATTTGCACTACCCAACCAGAACTCCGTCAGAGGGTACGAGGTCATCGACGCAATCAAGGCCGACCTCGAGAACATGTGCCCTGGGGTGGTGTCCTGTGCTGACGTTGTAGCCCTTGCAGCTGGCTATGGAGTACTCTTTGTGAGCATCTTACATCTCATGCTCCATTTTGTCAGATACATTCAGCTTGTCATACAAAGTATTAGGTACTGCACTAATTTTTTTCAGAGTGGAGGGCCTTACTATAATGTTCTTCTGGGGAGAAGGGACGGTCTGAAGGCGAATCCGTCAGGAGCTGACAACGGCCTGCCCTCGCCGTTCGAACCGATCAGCTCCATCGTAAAGAAGTTTGCCGATGTCGGCCTCGACACGAAAGACGTGGTGGTTCTGTCAGGTAACAGTTTCCACAGTAATAACAAAACTAACTATCTCCACGGAAGTGCACAACTAGAATTATAAACCCTGTGCTACATCCCTGAAAAAAAACCTGTGCTACATCCCTGAAAACGAAAGAGTGACAGTGTGGCCATGTTCCCTAAAAAAAAGACAGTGTGGCCATGCTTAACTAAGAGCAGAAGCAACTAGTTCTGAAACTTCATCCCTCACAAGCAAACTGTCACAAATTTTTCATAGGTCAATTATCAGACAGTTGACCTGATCTTATGGAATGGAGTGCACAACGAAAAACTCTATTTTGTCCTAAATTCTAAACGTCAAAACCGACAGGTGCCCACACGATCGGGCGAGCCCGGTGCGTGCTGTTCAGCGACCGGCTGGCGTCCACCAAGAGCTCGGCCAACCCGACGCTGGACGCCACCATGGCCGCTAACCTGCAGAAGCTCTGCACCGGCGGCGACGGCAACCAGACCACCGCACTGGACGTGAGCTCCGCGGGCGTGTTCGACAAGCAGTACTACCACAACCTTCTGAGCAAGAAGGGCCTCCTGACCTCCGACCAGGGCCTCTTCTCCGCGGACGAGGACGTGGTCGCCAGCACCACCAAGGCGCTGGTGCAGACGTACAGCAACGACGGCGAGCAGTTCTTCTCGGACTTTGGCGCGTCCATGGTGAAGATGGGGAGCATACCGTTGCCGGGGGGATCCGCCGGCGAGATCCGCTGCAACTGCAGGGTTCCCAATCCCAAATGAGCAACGGTGAGCAGAGTTCACCGGCGGTTAGATGAAAAAGATGAACCGGTAGCTAGGAAGAACTAGCCGACTGGCTAATAAAGCAGGACTGAGGATTCAATCCCAGGCGCTTGTCGCTACTAAATGGTGCAAAGATCATTGTCATACTGATTAGTAGTATATCTAGAATCAAAGGATGCCACACTACGGAAATGTTTGTTCTTCTTCCTACTTGTGGCATCTACCCACAAGCCACAACACATACATCAACTTACCTTCATCACTCACAACGAAATCATAGAAAAATACTGAATTAACTTCATGCTTTCTAGCTAGCTGGGCGACAAACATTTGGGCATCTGCATTCCTGATTTTTAATTTGAGGCCATGGTGGTTGTTTTGCAAGTCCCTTTGTTGGAATATTAGACAAATTCATGATTAATTTCAGTAAATAATTCATGACTAGAACAAAAAGTAGAGAGTTTTTATGGTACATCATACTACCTGAAATAGTGAGTAGTATTTAGTTGATCCAACGGTCAGTATGGATCGGTTATTTTTTTCTTTAGGATATATTGGTAATTCCCTATTAGAGGTAGATTTGTTCTTTAATGATGATAATCTAATTAATTAGATTAATCCCATCCCACCCGACGCCGTGTGCGTGTGTTCACATCAGATGAGCGGGTTCGCGTACGTCTCTCTTGAAAGATGGCTTGAAGCGTATGCCTAGCAGGGACGCGTTGCGTATTATATATAGCCATAGGGCTAGGGTTTACAAATCCGGTAGTTGGTTAGGCTTGATCCCCAAGTTAGCTATTCTACAGATAAGGATCGAAGCTTTAAACCTAACTACCGGTTTACATATTGATACACACGCAACACCAAGAGAATATACGGTTTTATATACCCGACCGTATATACATACAATATATTCTAACACACTCCCTCAATCATAACTTCACCAAGTTGAGATTGTTCTTGAATTCTTCTAAGTTGCGCTATGATAAGGCTTTAGTGAATCCATCTGCAACTTGGTCATTACTGGAGATGAAACGAATATCAAGAAGCTTCTTAGCTACCCTTTCTCGCACAAAGTGATAATCTACCTCAATGTGTTTTGTTCTAGCATGAAACACTGGGTTTGCTGATAGATATGTAGCACCAATGTTATCACACCACAATCGTGCAACAGGAGAGTGATTAACACGTAGCTCATTCAACAAGGTTTGAACCCATATCAACTCTGCCGTGGCATTAGCCAAAACTTTATACTCAGCTTCTGTACTTGATCTTGATACAGTAGCTTGTTTTCGTGCACTCCACGATATAAGATTTGGTCCAAAGAAAACAGCAAAGCCCCCTGTTGATCTTCTATCATCAGGACAACCTGCCCAATCAGCATCAGAGAATGCACTCACCAAAGTTGACATTGACCTTGTAACTTTCAGTCATGTACTCATAGTACCTCTTAAATATCTCAAGATTCTTTTCACTGCTGTCCAATGTGCAAAGGTAGGAGCATGCAAGAACTGACATACTTTATTGATAGGAAAAGATATATCAGGTCTTGTAAGCGTTAGATATTGCAAAGCACCTACAATACTTCTATAGTTTGTAGAATCTTCAGCACTTAAAGGCTCTCCTTCTTCCTTAGATATTTTTTCAGAAGTTGAGAGAGGCATATTTGACACTTTGCAATTCATCATACCTGCTTGTTTCAGCACATCTGACACATACTTCTCTTGACTCAAGACTATGCCATCTTTAACCTTTTTTACTTCTATTCCCAAGAAGTAGTGCAAATCACCAAGATCTTTAAGAGCAAAGTCTCTCCTTAGATCTTCAAGCAATGCTTTGGTTGCATCCTGCGATGAGCTTGCAACAATAATATCATCAACATATACTAGCATGAAAATGGTGATTTTGCCTTTTCTGTAGAAGAACAGTGACGTGTCAGCTTTGGATGGCTGAAAACCAAGTCTTTGGAGTTTCACACTCAGCCTAGAGTACCATGCTCTAGGTGCTTGTTTCAAACCATATAATGCCTTATCAAGCTTGCATACATAATGATACTTGTCCTTTACCTCATACCTAGGTGGTTGTCTCATATACACTTCTTCCTCTAGAACGCCATGAAGAAACGCATTCTGCACATCCAATTGATGAAGACTCCAATTGTTTGATACTGCAATGGACATAACAAGTCTAACAGTAGCTGCTTTCACAACAGGGATAAAGGTATCTTCATAATCTATACCATATCTTTGTTTAAACCCCTTTGCAACTAATCTAGCCTTGTATCTGTCTATTTCTCCATTTTCCTTTTTTTTAATTCTAAAAACCCATTTGCAGTCAATTAAGTTTCTCCCCATTGCTGGAGGAACTAGATGCCATGTTCTATTTTTCATGAGGGCATTATATTCCTCATTCATTGCATTTTTCCAATTTCTATTTTCCAATGCTTCTACCAAAGTATTTGGTTCTCCTATGACAGCAAGACCAGCAAAACGACGCCCTTTGTCATACCTGACCGTACCGTCCGTACGTACTTTTGGTTTCAAAATACCATGCTGAGATCTTGTTCTCGGTGGCGAGGCAGAAATTATCACAGAAGCCGGCTGCACAGAGGATCCGGAGCCCTGCACAGTGGATCCAGACCCTGACCCAGCCGCACCAGATCCAATGCGGATACTGTTGCCATCGCCAGCGTCCGCACCTGGGCCAGCAGTGACAGATCCAAGGCGGATGCTGTCGCCCACCTGCGACGCGCCTGGTTGGCCTGCGTCATCATGCGGAGGAGACCACCCCACTTGGCGTGTGGAGAGCAGCGCCTCACTGCTCGTGGGTCCACCTGACCCTGAGTGTGTGACGGCGCCTGTGCCTACGGGCCCGCGAGAGGACACACGTCGCGGTGACGCTGGATCACCCGCTCCCGAGGCTGATGCGGTGCGAATCCCGCGGTCTGGCGCGGCAGGCGAGGGAGGATCTTCCCCGGGATCGCCGCTGGCTGGATCCGGCGCAACACCTGAATCTGCATCGTGCTCCACACCTGTCTGCTGCATAAAATCATAGCCAAAAAAGAATTGCCACCAAAATTTACAGCAGGATTTTTATGAAGATTAACCGAAGGATCAACTGTCTGTTCGCCCCCATGATCAAGAGGTTTGGATGGAGCAGTTTCTGCAAGAAGAAGGACTTCGGAACGAAGAGGAACGCCGGCATTTGGATTTAGCGAGGCAAACGGAAAAATAGTTTCGTCAAAGATGACATCGCGAGAAATATAGACACGTCCTTCTTTGACATCAAGGCACTTGAACCCTTTGTGGAGATTGCTATAGCCAAGGAAGACACATTGTTTTGAAAGGAACTCTAGCTTCTTAGCATGAAAGGGACGGAGATTTGGCCAGCACGCACAGCCAAAGGTGCGTAGGGCATGGTAGTTTGGTTTTTCATGGAACAATTTTTCCAAAGGAGTGTCAAGATTAATCACCTTGCTAGGAGTACGATTGATAAGATAGGTGGCAGCTAGAAAAGCCTCGTCCCAAAATTTTAAGGGCATATAAGCATGAGCAAAAAGTGAGAGACCCACGTCCACAATATGCCTATGTTTTCTCTCGGCAGACCCATTTTGTTGATGGGCATGTGGGCATGAAACGTGATGTGTGATCCCTACTTGACGAAAGAAGGAGTTGATGCGCTCATACTCACCGCCCCAATCTGTTTGCACGGTGATAATCTTGCGATCAAAAAGTCATTCAACTAGTGCTTGAAACTCATGAAACACTTTGAAAACTTCTGATCTATGTTTGAGGATATATATCCACGTGAATTTGCTGAAGTCATCGATGAAACTCACATAATAATTCTTCTTATTAATTGAATCTCAGGCAGGCCCCCATACATCAGAGAAAACTAGCTCTAAAGGAGCTTTTGAAATACTACTAGAATTTGGGTAGGGAAGTTGATGGCTCTTGCCTTGTTGGCAAGCATCACACACTCCCTCTTTATTCAACTCTTTGCTAGAAAAGGAAATTTGATTGTGTCTAAGAACATGTTAAACTATTGCCGAAGATGGATGCCCTAAACGATCGTGCCACCTTGATGAAGATATCTTGGTGGCGCCAAGTGCATGTCTGCCCGAGCTTATTGGAGCTGATGATAGGGGATAGAGCCCGTTTCTACATCTGCCGCAGAGGAGGGTTTTCCTCGTTGCCTTGTCCTTGACAAAGAAAAAATGAGGATGAGTTTCAAGAAACACATGATTGTCATTGGCTAGACGATGAGCAGAGATCAAGTTTTTAGTGGCTTTGGGCACATGCAGAATATTTTTGAGATGAAGATTACGAGTAGGGGTACGAACATATGCATGACCTATATGGGAAATCTTCATACCTACGCCGTTTGGCATGTTTACTTGATCGTGTCCATTGTACTTGTCACGAAAGGTGAGCTTGTCGAGCTCACTGGTAATGTGGTCTGTTGCACCTGAGTCCACATACCAGTTTGTGTCCACGCCGTAGGAGGAGCCGGTGCCGTAGGAGGAGTTGGTGTTGACGGCTGCCGTGGTTTTCTCCTTGTTGAAGGAGACATCAAAACGACGATAGCACTCCATGGCCGTGTGATTTGGCTTGGAGCAGATTTGGCAGAAGACTTCTGGCAGATCGTTGCGGCCTCCTCCATTGCCGCGGCCCCCGTCGCGACCACGCCCGCCGCCTCCATTGCCACGGCCGCCTCCATTGTGGCCACCATTGCCACTGCGGCCACCATCGCGGTTGGATCCACCGCGTCCGCCACGAGACACGGCATTGGCAGAGGAGTGGCCCTCCGCCTTCAAACATAGCCAGCCTGCTTTCAAAGCTGATCAGCTGCGAGTAAAGCTCGCTCACCTTGATTTGCTGGGTGCGGGCGCAGATCGTGGAGACGAAAGACACGTAGTCGTAGTCGAGTCCCGCCAAGATGTAGGACACCATGTCGTCGTCGGTGAGCGGCTTGCCCACCGATGCCATCTCATCACCGAG